GGGTCAGGCGTTCGATTTCGCGTATGTTCACGTCTCTTATCCCATGACCTTTCGGGTGTTGACATCCTCACATTGCGATTCCGGAATGCAACTCCCATCGGCACCTGATGTCCTTGCTTCTCGGGTTCTGTACGGAACGTCTCCGCACGCCGTTTTTCTTCACGTCCTCTCGTCGCCGCCAAAATCTTTGCCGTATCGATTTTCCTTTGAATACTCATTTCTGTAACTTCGTCTCCATGGCGCACCCATCCTCTTCCGCCACGGTAATCTCTGTCATGAGAGCGTTCGCGTGACCTTTCGTTGCGGTAGTCACGTGTCCTTTCACGAGAGTGTTCGCGTGACCTTTCCCTCTGTCGTTCAGAAGTTCGCTCATATTCTCGTGAATGTCCGCGTGACCTTTCTCTATGCGGGGGCGAACGTGGTCGTATAAAGCCTTCGTCCCGTTTAAAATTTCTGAATGCCTGCAGCACATCGCTTTCGGTTCGGCGAGATTTACGTAGGTCATCCATACGTCTTTCGACTTCCTTCTTTATGTAGGGTGCCGGCGCGAACCCGTCTTGAAGTCGTTTCTTCTCCCGCAACAGCATTTTGAATACCTCGTCTGACATAGCAGCTGGATCTTTCGTTAACGTTTCGATTTGTATGATGAGCGACTGTCGTACAAGTTGCATTTCGTCTTCCTTAAGGCTGGCTGTGGGTCTGGTTGAACTCGACGACGTAATGGGCAACCCCTCTCGTGCAGCCTGTTCACTTGCTCTCTTATTTTCCGCATAAATTTTCGCGCGGATTTCGTCTTCCATCTGCTGAGCACGCATCTTCGCTTGGTCTTCTTCGAATTTCTTCCGGTATGCGTCTGTTTGTGGACATTTCAACGGCTCCAAGGTGTCATCCCAACCAGGTTCATTGTTCCGGATCGCTTCTCGATAACGATCTTCGAATAGCATTCGCTCTTCTACTGGGATGCTGCCGTAATTTCTTGCGCTTATGAGATTTCGAAAAACGTCCAAATTCCCACGTTTGGCTTCCATGATCCCAACAAGCGTGACGGTATGTGGGTCTTCCAGCTTGTGAATACAAGTGTAGCAAGGGAATTTCTTATCAACCTTTTTGTTGTTCCTTAAGCAGTCCGGACACTTTGGATTATAGCCCGTAAACTGATCGATATCTGCCACCATTCCTGTACGTTTAGAAGGGGTTTGACCTTTTTGTGCCATCTTTTTTCTTCAATCTGCAATTATAAAATAATCCATCATAGTAACCTTTCCACGTTAATCCTTTCCATTCCTATCCGTTATCAAGGCTTTCTATCATTTTTACGCCTATCCGTTACTGAGCTGAGACTTTCCTAGCTCCTGCTGGCTTTTCTATCACTGTAACGTGGTGACCTTTCTCACGTTATCAGCACTCTCTGACTACTGTGACCTTTTCTATTAGTCCTAGTACTGCTTTCAGGTGACCTTTCATAACACTTTTCTCTTTCGTTTTGAACTATTTTATGCTTTTCTGTAATATGCAGGGTTCATTACTCGCTGCATATTACACTGTCGACATTCATTCTGCTTCTTTCTCGGTGGTGGTAACGGTTGAAAATCTATCCGGCCATCGCTGTTGATATGAACACTTCGTCCGCAATCAAAGCTTCAACGGCATTCTTAATCCACTCCTTATCTTTCTCAATATTCAATTCTCCCAATTCATAATTGACGGCCATGAAGTTGAAAGGTCATTCCATGACGCTCCATTGGTACCTCCGATGGCGTCCAAAGCCACGTCTGTGATGGCTATCTTCCAGGCCTCTAATACCATTGGAAGTCTGGGCGTACGCTCGGCCCTGTTTCGGAAGGTAGTAAATGACTTTGTTGTCCTTGTTGTATTTACATCCCAACTTCCCTTCCTTATATGCTCGTTTCAGAACTCGTTCAGTCATGTTAAGTGACGACCTCCCCTTCGAGTTTTCAGCCACTTGTCTCTTCAGGTCTGCCAAGCATTTCTTTTCCCTGACCATCTGGAGCGTATTTTGGACTTCGTTCCATGTACGATTATTCACGTCCAATGCCGGCCCTAACGTGTAATCTGTAGCCTCCTTTGCCGGTGTATCGCTACTTTTCTGGGAGGATGTCGAATCCGTTGGGTCAGCTGTCGCTGTTTCGTCGATCCTCAGCTTTGCCAATGATCCTGATGATGACCCCGCTGATTTTGGTTCGGCTGTCTTCTTCTCCTCTTGCGGCAAAGTCTCTTGACCTTTTAGATCGCCAACCGACTTCGATCGTTCCTTCTCAAAGACCTCCTTTAATGGTATGAACAGTGATTTGTGAAACACCTGTCGCGCCGAATCCGCTTCAGCTTCTGCCGCTGCCTTATCCATCGGGAGCATGACCTTTTCTTTCTCCCGTTTGTCTGAAGCCTCATGACCTTTCGGTTGAACTTCTGCGGTAGTTCCAGATGTCTTCGGACCTTTCGACTGTTCGTCTTTTTCTGTCGCAGGTCCAGAAGGAGCCGTTATTGTAGTATCGTCATCACTTCCCGATTCCGAGTCCATTGGTCCTTTTTTCCTCGGCACTTTCGGGGCTTGTGATTTCAACCTCGCCGCATCTTCTTCGGCCGTTTTCTGTGCGATCTGATCCAATATCGGAGTTGACGGGTCTCCGCTCAATGGGGCTGTGACCTTTTCCGTATCCTGACTGTCAGACATATGACAGTGGATCTGTCTTTCCGGTGGTATCAAACCAACTCTCGTGTATCGGATAGGATGTCCTTTATTTGCGTTTGTTGTGGCAAGGACATTCTGTTTAATCAACTTTGGCAGTACACGTTCGGTTGCCGTGTCGATCTCCTTGATCATCCCGTTCCCATCGTTCCAAACTGCGTTGATGTATTGGCTAATCCGGTGACTCGTTGACCCTAATGGGCTTGTCATTCCCGCGATTGCCCTTTCTACTCGCATTGGGACCGCTTCATTCGGAGTTGTCAGCGCTTTATCCGAACTGGCTGGTCTGAACAACTTGGCCTCATACGAAAAACTCGGGTGCTTCTGTATAAGTTTTCCTGCGTTCCGCGCGAATTCCAATACGACGTCGAACTTTTGTTTGGTGAAGCTACGATGTTGTTTCTTCAAATATGTCTTCAGGCCTGCTTTAAATTTGGATGTCACCGATGCTGTTCTTATTCGTGTGAAATTCTTCTCAGCTCCGTTATACGCTTTGATTATTTCATCGACCGTGTTCAAATTATCATCATCTGGACCATCAAATTCTTCATCCGAGGTGAAGTCCAGTTCACTCTCTCCATCTGGTTCAGTGTAATTAACCGTCGCTAATGCATCGATTTTCGTGACTGTCTTGCCCTTTCCTTTGGTCTTAACGGGTTCGCTCTTTGCTTTTTTCCCTTTATCCAGAGCTTCCGCTAAGCTTCTTGGCTCAGTGGTCCTTGATCGTGTCGTTTTCGAATCTGTATGTGACCTTGCACTGACCGTCGAAGTGCTTGGAAGGCTCACTTCCGATGCCTCCGATTCACGCGACGTCTCCCGTTTCGCTTTTTCACGAATCTGTTTGTCCTTGCGCTCCTTTGGCGTGGATGCGGAAATGACAATGGGGACAACTTGTTTCACCGCTATGACCTTTCCTTTGGGCTTTAACGGTTCTGACGTAGCCGAATTAATAACTTTCTTTGAAGTCGTAGGTGTCGATGACCTTTCCTCAACTTCGCCGACTGACTCGTCCAATATCTCAACATCGTGAGACGCTGGTTCATCTCTTTTCTTCTTCCCGGTGCTTGTGCTATCGCTTTCGTCACCGCTCTTCTTCTTCTTATCTTCTTCCTCCTGTCGTTTCTTCTTATCTTCTTCCTCCCGTCGTTTCTTGAGAAAATCGCCTTTCTTAACCTTGTCACGGTTCATGGCCTCTTCCAATCTGGGCGCTTTTCTCGGTTTGACTTTTGAGGACTTGACTTTTAAGGGCTTTTTATGCTTGTCGGTCGTTTCTTCGTCTGAGCCTTCTTCCTCAGGTGGGTCCTCGTCTTCCGACTCTGGTTCGTCGTCACCAGGTGGATTACAATGGGCACAGTTTGGTTCATCACACTGAAGGTGCTCGTGACTTCCTTGGGCAATCTCAAGTACTCTTTGTAGCGAACGTCTGGCCCCTCCTGTTTCAGTTACATTTGCCGACGTGCCCTGCGCCTCTTCCGTCTCTCCGGCTCCGCCTTCTTGTGCCGGGGGATGAATTTCCAAGTGTCTTGTCTCTTTCGGAGATCCCTGTGAGGCGACCTCCCACAAAGGGTTCTTCTTAGCGTCGTAAAATACCGTTTTGTACGTTCCATCTTCCATTCGTCTTGTGAGTCGGAAATGTGCTCCATCGATCTCCGCTCGATGCCGCATCATGCTGATGAGTGTGCTTGCTTGAACCACGGCATCTTTTCGGTCGCTTTCAGGTATCAGATCCCATAGCTGGTCAATAGCTGCCTGATTCGCATTTCGGGCGCTCTCTTCTGATACATCCCATGGGGCATATGGGACCGGGTCTCCTGTTATTGGGTCAACTATCACCGCAGTTATGGTTTCCGTAGCTTCTCCATTGTCAGCGAAAAGTCTGAGGGTGACCTTTCTGCTTGTCGCCTCTGTGTATCTCAGGACCGACTCATAATCATCTGACGATCGTTTCTTCGGATCTGGATCCGCCGTTGGTTTTGAGCGAGTTCTCTCTTTGATCAACAGTTTGCCGTCCGTTGTGTATGTATATGCCAAGTGGTCATCATCTGTGCCCACTTTGATACGGATCCATGCATCTTCTTCGGTTGCAACTTTAGATACCACGTGTTTCATCATCTGAACGATAACTCTTGGGTTATGACGTTCTTCTGGGGGAATAAACTGTAGCGCCTCATTGACTACCGTTTTTGACTCTTTCCCAATGGCATCCTTAACTGACCTATCCGCGAGGGGATTATACGAGTCGATCTCTTTGTTCGTTTTCTTATCGACTATTCGTGCAGTGACCTTTCGTTCTTTATGGTCTTCCCCAGTGTATTTGGCCGGTGAAACTTCTACACTTCGGGAATCGAATCTGACCTTCTGTTCCTTTCGGCGTGGGTGGTACACTCTTTCTACCCACTGGAATCGGGGCCTGTGGCTTTGCCGGCTCAGCTGGTGTTGCTTTGCTTTCTGTGGGCTTCTTTGTTCGCTGCCCTTTCTTGTCAGTTTCTTTTGGGCTTGTCGTCGGTGATCTCACTCTTTTTCCACTCTTCGTGGTGCCACTGGATGGTTCTGTGACCGAACTAGTACGTCCACGTCCTGATCCTGCAACCGAGCTGGCCCGTGACCTTTCTGCTCGTTCCGTTAATACGGCATCAATCCTCTGCTTTGTGGCCAAAAGGTCCTCGTCCGTCATTTCATCAACCGGGGCATCTTTTTCAGCTCTGGGTTTAGATGGTCCCGTGACGCTGGTAGGATGCATCTGTCTTGTTTCCGGGAACACTTTAAGATACCTAAGGATCTTTTCGACGATCGAAGGCCATGGCCTACCATTTAGCGACGGGTGGTATTGCCACATCGACGCAACTTTTATCGCGTATTCACTGCGCTCTTTTTCGATCAGTTTTGTCTTTTCCTTCAGGGCGATATGACATGGTTTAATAACGGCTTCCAGGCTGATTAACTTTCCGTACCATGCGTGTTCGTCTTCAACTCGCATGTGAATTCTATAAAGTTCGCGGCATTTCCGATTAAATTCTCGGATAGCTTCCAAGTCGTTTTCCGTCAGTTTGTCCTCCTTATTCGGAATCATATTTAAGCTTGCGTCGTCTTCTCTCAAATCCAAAGGAAGCTTCGGTGCGTATGCGTGTATTGAAGGTTCACCTGGAGGCGTAAGCCGTAAACCATCTGGTCCAGTCTCGTCCAAGTTTGGACCCAGTGACGGTAGAATGCCTCTCGGTCGCCTTCCTCCTCTGTGTGGCGAATTACGATGAGGGCGCTGCGCTCCAAGTTGCTGCGGTGTTCTCATACGAGGCGCTCCGATATCCGACAGTGACAAGCCTCCCGTCTCCGGAAAAGGCGGTAATATCGGAGATGACCTTTGTGATCGTGGTGGAGTTCCGCTGAATCCACCATGTCCCATAAATCGACTCGGTGTGGTCTGTTGCGGTGGCGGCATCAACATTCTTGCCGGTCCCATCATTACTTGTGGTGGTCCCATCGGTGGGGTATACGATCCTGGATACGGTTGATAAGGGGCGACCGTTGCTTGTCCCGAATACTGGGTTCCGGCAGGTGAGCCGTGGTGCACCCAGTTAACCGTGTCCTGATAACTCGTCTGCTGTCCTGGATCGTGATACACGTAATATCCCTGGCCGCCATAGTAACCTCCTTGACTTGTTCCAGGTTCATTCTGAGCCGTTCCCACTGACGACGTTGATCCTTCACCATATGAGGTGTCATAACCGTATTCACCTTCCATTCTTATAGGTGTTGATGCTTTTAGTGGGTTTCCGATACATTCAGAGTCTGAATTATCCGAGTTTTGTCGTTCCAATCTGTCCATTAACTGTGCTTACCTTCTATAAAACGAAACAATAAAGGTTAGCTTTTTGCACAGTGGTGACCTTTCTTTTTGCCTTCCCAACTCCTATTTTTAATTAAGTGTGACCCCTTATTTATGTCTATGTGGTTATTTGTTCTCTCGTCCTTTAGTTATCCGATCAAGGAGTTCTTTCTCGGCTGCGTCCTCAGGTTCGCCTTTCTGGGTCAATAAGTCCGTAGGAGTTGGTTTCTTCTTCTTCTGTTTAACCTTCCGCTCGTTAATTGCTTTCGCTATATCACGGCCCAATTGTTCAGCTTTTGATTTGACCGCCTCTATTTCCTCTTTTCTCTTTTGTATGAGGTCATTCTCATCGCCGGTAGCAGTGCGTGGTTCGAAAAAATTTGGGTCACGCTCTGATATCTCAGCGTCCGTTCGCTGTTTCAAAAGGTCATCTTTATCTGCGGTAGCAGTGCGTGGTTCGAAAAAGGATTGTTGCAAGTCCTTTTTGGAGGAACGCTCTGGTACTTTGGAGCTCGTTTCGGTATCTTTTTCCAGTGACCTTTTTGCCAAATTACCAGCTTCTGCGTTCAACTTAATTGTGACTGCAGTTTCAAAGTCTTTGTCCTCTTTCCTTTTCCTTCCTCGCTTCTGTTTCGGTTTATCTCCGTTTAACCCATTCGTTTGACCTTCTCCCATTTCGGGTAGCAGAGGTGGTTCGAAAAATGGCTTCTGTTGTGTGACTGAGTCATTTTTCGGACTCCGCTCTGATTCGTCTTCTTTTCCGTTAGCTTTATCCGTTTCGGGTAGCAGAGGTGGTTCGAAAAAAGGTTTTTCCGAATCTTTTTGAGTACGCTCTGTTGCCTTTTCCTCATCTGGTAATGGAGGGTGCCATGGTTTCAACCGGTCGATCGAAACCACCTTCAAGTCTGCTTCCTTCTTCGGGTTCTGCTCAATGACTTCGGCTTCGTTTGGTCGCGGGAAACTGAGAATCTTCCACACTTTGTCGTATTTGGACTTAAAGTCCGATTGGTTTTCTTTCTTCCCTTGTTTCGTGTCTTTTGGTAATCGTATCAATACGAAATCTCCCACTTTGAAGTTCGGTTCTGATTTCTTCTTATTGTAAATTTCCGCATTTTTCTCATAAGCATCTTTAATGTTACATCTCGCCACTTCTTCTGCAAAGGTCAAGTTCTTTTTCATGGTCTCTACCCATTCATCGGGAGTCCCATAGTCGTCTGGGATATTCGTTTTTGTGACCACGTCTTCCGGCATTGTCATTTCTCTGCCGTGTAGCATATAATATGCCGAATATCCGGTTGTGGCGTGTACGACTCTGTTCATCGCCGAAATAACATATGGGAGGTACTTGTTAAACTTTCTTTCGTTTCCCGCTTTCAGGTACTGCGCCAGGCCATCCGCAATCGTCTGCATCTGTCTTTCAACTTGGCCTTGACCTTCCGGATGATATGCCGTTCCAAATGTGTGTTTAATCTTAAACACATTGGTGACCTTTGTCAGTACTTCAGCTGTAAAGTGTCGTCCGCGGTCCGTATGTAGGATGTGCGGTGCTCCGTGTACTAATATCACGTGCTTCACGAACACTTTAGCGAATTCTTTGGCAGTTGCCGTCTTCATTGGTACCGCTATCACATATTTCGTCAGCTGATCGATGAACACTGCTATGTATTTATATCCGCGTTTCTTCGTTGGTAGCAATGGTCCTTTCAGATCAGCGTACACTCGGAAGAACGGGTGTCCCACTTTAATCTCTTGCAATTTACCGGGTGGGCATTTCCTCGGTGTTTTGCGAAATTGACATCCTTGACAAGCGAGTATGTAATTCTTTACGTCAGTACTCATTCGATCCCAATAATATCGGAGTCTGATCGCTGATAATGTCTTTTCAAATCCCAAATGGCCTGCTGCTTTCTCATCATGCAATGCGTGGATTATCGCTCTTCGCATTGACAACGGTACGACATATGACCTTTCAAGTTTTCCATTTTTATCTTTTACTCGGTACAATATGCCGTTCCACAACTGGTAATGCACTTCGAATTTCGATCTTGTTTCCGCGTCTGGTAGATGTTCCAATTCATCTATAATCATTGCCAGATGAGGATCCTTCAATTGTTTGTTTCGCAATTGTAGATTGGAGTCATCCTCCTCTTCTTCGTCACCTTGCAGGTTAACGATGCGCACTGTTGCTGTACTGAGTTCGTTCCAATCTCTGATGACCTTGCATCGCGGTAGCGGTTTGTACCTCTTTTTCGTCTGTTTTGGGAATCTCAGCAACTTAATTGGACACTCGTTCAACGCTTGTGTAACTTTGTCCGTTTCCCAAAGGTCATCTCCTTTCTCCGCTGCTTTATCAAGTCCAGTGACCTTTCCATTATGAACTTCGGCCTCTACTTCAAGTCCGGTGACCTTTAAGTCACTAACGGTGGGCAACCAACTTTTTACACGATTCACATTAGCTTCTATTTCAGCCGACTCATTCGCCGTAGCTGAAGTGACCTTTAATCGTTTCTCCCTCTGTTCCACCATCTGCAGGAACAGCTGTCCAACTTCAATTGCCGGTTCCTTCGTATCAAACTCCTTCTTGTAATCCTCGAAGTTTGGAATCTCATCGAATTCCTCTTCTTGACACGTCGAGCCTTCGATTGGCGCTCTTGATAACGCGTCCGCGTTGTCGCAATATTTCCCCGGTTTATATTCAATTTTAAACTGGTGACCTTGTAGTGCCATTGCCCATCTTGTCAAACGCGGGTTCATTCCAACTTTGTTCGTCTCTGACCTTAGCAGATTGGTCAGCGCCTGATGATCCGTCCTTACGGTGAACTCTGCGTAATCAATGTACGGCTTGAATTTCCTGACAGCGAACACAACTGCCAGACATTCCCATTCCGTTACACCGTAATTTTTCTCCGCTCCATGTAAGACACGACTGGCGTACGCGATCGGATGTCCATCTTGTGACAGTACGGCTCCGATTCCTTCTTTGCTCGCGTCGCATTCAATGACGGTCGGTTTCGCGGGTTCAAACTTTGCCAGTACTGGACCTTCACACAACAACTTCTTCAAACTATTGAACTCTTCTTCATGTACTGCCGTCCAGTCCTTTTTCACGTGCTTATCTTGTCTCAGCAGTTCATATAAGTGGGAAGTCTTCTGTGCGTATCCCATTATGAATTTACGATAATAGTTCGCCAGTCCAAGGAATGACCTTAATTGTCTTTCAGTCTGAGGCCGTTTGAATTCGGAGACCGCGGTGACCTTTTCCGGGTCCATACGAATTCCGTCCTCGCTGAGTATATGACCCAGAAATCCCATTTGTCTCATTCCAAATTCACACTTGGTTGGTTTAATCGTGAATCCCGCTTCAACCAGACTCATTAAGACATTTCGCAGATTCTGCATGAAGATCGCCCAAGTCTTTCCGGCGAAGATTACGTCGTCAATGTACCCGAAAACGCAACCCTTTCTTTTCGCTTTCGAGAGAACTTTATCCATACACAATTGAAATGTTGCTGGTCCGTTTCAAACTCCAAATGGCATTCTTTTAAACCGGTACATTCCATCTTGTGTTACAAAGGTCGTCTTATTGATTGACGCTGGGTCCATTGGGATCTGCCAGAATCCACTTTGTAAATCCATTTTTCCGTAATATTTGTTGCCTGCACACGCGTCAAGCAGTTCATCTGGGTTCGGTAACGGGTAGTTATTCTTTCTCGTTAGCTTGTTAAGCATGATGTAATTGACACAAAATCTTGTTCCCATTGTTCCATCACCGTTTTTCTTTACTGCCAGCACGACTGGGAAACTCCACTCGGCGTCTGACGGCTCAATTACATCTTGTGCCAACATTTCTTCGATATGCTTCGTTATAAACTCACGGCCTGTCCAACTCGTTCTGGCCGGGTTACATTTAACTGGTTTCGCGTCTCCCGTATCGATTACGTGAGTGACCCCTTTCACATCTCCATACGGTTTCTTGGATGTCGGTAAGACTTTCCAGAATTCCCAAAACGCGTTATACACCTCGTTTTTCTGTTCCTGGGTAAGGTCAGGTCCCAATTTCAGGTTTTCGATTATCTTTTTCAATTCAGCTTTCGTTGTATCATCCACCTCAGGGTCTTCGAGTACGTTCTTTACTGTCCCTGCGTTGACCTTTACATTTTCCATATGTTCATACGGCTCAACGTAGCCAAGAAGCTGATTTTTCTTCACAATCCGGTATTTGCTGCTGTGATTCGCAATGACGATTTCGAAGTACTTTCCTCTGTGGTCCGTTACTCCTGCCAATGGTTGCACTTCCGTTTCCACTTGTGGGACCGGTGTAAACATCAACTTGTTTTGGGCAGGTGCGTATTTTCCCATCTTGACCTTTACGCGTGTGCAATTGGACGGTTTCAATTTGATTCTTTGGTCACTGTAGACTTTGATCACGTCTTTCGACATCCTAGCCTTTTCCACTTTCAATCTTCTGACTTTAATATCCTTTTCTTTTTCTTCATCTACTTCGTCATCCTCATCCAAGTCCATTAAATCCTCTTGCTCCGAAAGGTCACTTACACCTGAATCTTCCGAAGTCGTTGAATTATCACTTGAACTCGTCCACTCGGAGTCGGAGTTACTGCTCTCATATTCTTGTGCAGTGGCTTGACCTTTGTCAGCCTTTTCGAGTGGACGCTCATCAACTCCTTCATCTTCTGATGAAAGGTCACTTTCGTTTTCCCGTGAATCGCTAAGTTTTTTCACTTTCGAATTTTTGAGCAGGGGTTTGTCCCCTTCTTTTGCCTTTCGCCCATTTCGTGCAGCGACTCTCGGGTGACTCCTCGCTACTCGAATTCTCGTTGGTGACCTTTCTGACTGATCGGAGTTTGGCCTTTCTTCGTTCGATTTTAACTTTTCCAATTCGTTTATTTCTTCTATACTCGACAGTGGCTTTTCGGACAACTCGACCGGCGGACATTCCTCACCGTTGGCGAGTGACCTTTCCCCGTTTTTTGCCTCAGTTACTGGATTTTGTTGTTC